ATGCTTAGTCAACTAACAAACTAACAAAACATTGAAAGCAGGACAATGTCCTTCCTGGAAAGTAGTCTGYTATATTATTTTCACTTATTTTTACTTTCTTATTTGGTAGGAATTCAAAACATGGTGTTGTTATTCTGTGCAGCTGTCACAGAAAACAAGATCTTGTTCATCTCCAGTAGTTATGTCCTCCTAACCAATGCCACTAGAGCTATGCTTGCTCTTATGTATCCCCTCAAATTCAGGTATGTTGCTCTGACATTGCCCCCCCCCCCCCCCCCCACCCCCCTAATGAATCAAAATGTGAATCTTTTGTTTACATTAGCATATCATTTATTAACATATTAATTAAAAGCATTTTATGTTTTAACTTAACAACCAAAGTAGCACTGAAGTTCTATTATTTCTTTAATGTCTAGCTATGTATATATTCCAATTCTTCCTGCTGCTTTGCTGGACTTTCTGAGYGCTCCAACACCGTTTATTATGGGMGTCCATGAGTCTTACAAAGACAACATCCCAGAYTTGGTAAGATATCAGCCACTGAAAGTGTGGAACATAATCAGCTCTTGGGGGACTAAGMCATCYGTTATTTTCTGTTTATTCTTTCAGTCTGAYGTCATTCTAGTTGATATYSATGGAGGACATGTTTCAATACCTGACAGTGTTCATTTAGCAACATTACCTGAGAATTTTATGATCTCAACAAGAAGAGAATTGAATCTTGTAAGCTAAGCTACACTTTCATTTAATGATTTTGATGATGGTATCTATCAAGTTTTTCATGCATTTATTTTCTCATTCGTTGGATTATTTGTTCATCTATTCATTTGATCATCCAGCCATTTATTTGTTCATCTGTTCATTCATTTTTCTATTTCAGTCATTCATTTGTCTGTCCATCCACATTTCTATATTCAGTTTAATAAATCTCTTTTTCAATTTTATTTGCATCTAGATAACAATACTATTTTTCTCTAATTTCAATTTTATTTACACATTG